CTGGTTATAGCGGCCCGGGGATGAAGCTGCCCGGCTGATGGCCGGTGCCTTTCCTTCGCAGCTTGCTGGAGGTCTCCCTGAGCTCTGACCTGCACACGCTCAACCTGCACTGTAACCGCATCGCCAGAATCGAAGGGCTCAGCCACCTCCGGACGCTGCAGCATTTAGATCTGTCATCCAACCAAATCTGCCGGATCGAGGGGCTAAGTTCCCTGGCTAACCTGCGCACCCTAAGCTTGGCCTGTAACCTGATAACGAAAGTGGAGGGTCTGCAATATTTATTTCTGTTCATTTAGCAAATCATGAAGCTTTTCTAAGAGTTGTGAAAGCTTGCTCCTGAAAACTATGCATATAACTAAGGTTATATGAAGTTTGAGCTACTAACCATATTGTTCTGTAAATTTTAAAACGAGTATATAGTCTCTGTAAGCTTTATCATAGCAAAATGCCTTAATTTAGAAGGACAAAATGATTTTTGTATTATTACAGTTTATGTCATAATTAGTAGTTATGATTTTTAAAGGCTTACTTTGCAAGTTTTGATTTGATGAAAGCAGAGCATTCTTCTGAAAATCTTACTGCTCCTTTTTTTCCTCATTTTGTTTAGGACTGGAAAAACTCTTTAATTTAACTATGCTGAATTTGTCATATAATCGCATACATGACCTCTCTGGTAAGTGACTTTGGCATGTGCAGTGCAATAAAAAGCATTTGCGTCACTTTAATTTTGAAAAATTTGACCAAGTATATTTTTAGAAGTTTCTAGTACGTCAGCCAATTGACTGAGTAATGCTACTAAAGGTGGCAATTGCTGCTGCTCTCGGCTTTCAAGTTTCTAACATCAAGAGTCATTCTGAACTGGAATTTATTCTGTATTTGGCAAGGCCAAGCTTCTTTACAAAGTAGTACAGTAAACGTTTCAAATTTATTTCCAAAGTGAAAAATGCTGTGGTCTTGGAAAATATTTCCAAAAGATTCATATCTTTCCTTTTCATAGGACAAAAATGCAACTTTAGATATGATATGGCAGTTCCTTTCTAAGTCTGTTTGTTGAAATGGTCAATTGTTGCTTCTAACTAAGATTTTAAGCTACAGAATCAAGGGAGTTTGTAATAGAAAATTAAAAAGAACTTGGTAACAATTTTGTTAATGAACTGAGTTATAAAAAGGAACCTCAAGCAAAATATTTATTTTTACATGCTGCTTAACAGTTAGAAATTAATCTGTTTCTTTAAAGTTAGCTCTCATAACTACCTTAAGTGTTGTACTGTGTGATAGTGTACCATAGCTAATTAATATATGTAGACAAGGATATGGAGCAAAAGTTGTTAGATAATTTCCAATTATGATGTATTATTTATTGAATATTTTTCAATAACATGCCATTTGTTCTAAACCCTATAGTCTAGGATTGTAGCAGAAATCATTATTTTGTGTGTTTTCTCAAATTTTCAGGATTTCAGTGCCTTCATGGAACCAGTCATAAGATCAGCCATATTGACCTTCACAGCAACTGTGTAAACAATATTAACCACTTACTTCAGTGCACAAAGGGGCTGCGCTGTTTGACAAACCTGACACTGGAAAAAAATGGAAAAGCCAATCCAGTTTGTCACACAGCAGGTATGGATCTCATGTTGGGGAGATACTTTGTGCTCATTAGGTCAGCGATTTCCCTTAACCTGTGAGCTGGGTTCTGAAGCTTGCAAATTCATTCATAAACTGGCCAGCCTGCAGAAATCTAAATTCTGTCAAAATTAATTTGTTTTCCATTAAAAAAAAAAAATTCCCCAAGCATATTATCAAAATTGTCACTTGTTGTATGCTTTGATAAGGCTCAACTTTTCACATATTATTTTAGGTTCAGTTGCAAGATAGACAAGGAGTGATGGGAAGAGAAAGTATTGCAGAAATAGGATGAAATGAGTAGTAATATTATTGGGTGGGTGGAGAATATGAAGAATGTACATGGAGATATTGAACTATATAGAAAGAGGGCAGGTATGGGAAGTAGATGGTCTTCTACTGTTAGAGACGACAAGAGGAAGATCAGTAATAAGCACTATTAGCCTTCCCTCCTTTTCCCACAGCTTCAGTAAGTAGTGACAGACTCTAAGATGCTCTGCAGTAATTAGCATTTTCATCAAAATAGTAGACAAGGGTTTCACTAGGCAGCATGGAGACAAGTTGGAGGAATACTTGTGGATACATCGCTTACAGTTGCATTGCCTAGAGCTTCTGGTTCGGGGGTAGGTTTTTCATGCTATTTAAATGTTATACCCTGTGTTCAAACAAGGTAAATTGTAGCACCTTGTTTTGGTGCAGGTTTTGTTTGTTTTCTTGGTTTGTGTATAAAAGAGGGGAATATCTCCTACAGGAAAGTAGAAGTAAAGGATTGGTATTTTTGGGACAGCTCAAAGATAATCTCATTATAAAGAGTAGAACAATAGGAATTACAATAGTACACAATAGCAACCATATCATGAGCATGTAACTGATACAGGTGTAATATGTGTACAGTTATTAGAAGGAAACCTTAGAGACAATTGAGGGAAGCCAAATAAGGTCATAGGTAATGTTTTCAAAAGCACCCATGAACAAGTTTTTCAGGCACCAGGGAAGCAGTACCAGGACTATTAAAGTTACCTGGGTAACTTACAGAAGAAAACTAGTGGAATTTTCTAAGTGTTTACATACCTCTTCATATCTGCCTCTTTGGCACTTGTTTTTGAAACTGCCATCTTCAGAAGCCCAAATTCTGTTGATTTAAAGAAACTGAAGTTCAGTGCCTTACAGTTTCGTAATGCCTTATTTCATTCAGTGAAAAAAGATGAAGTTACCTAAGCCCTTTCAGAGCTTGCATTTCCATTACGTTTGTCTGTCCTTGCACTTCATACAACTGTTTTGGTGCAGTAGGCTGATATGAAAAGGTTGTGCAACCGCAGTGTGCTGATGGTAGTGGGGAAATCCCCAGGGAGACCAGGACTAGGCAGGCAGCTTCGCAGTTAATTTGTTTTGTAATACTTCTGTTGAAAGCTTTATGGGTGGGGAAAGGTGAGACACTTGTAGATAACTCACTACTTATTTTCTTCTATTAAGAATGCAGTGAATAATTTAAGATGACAGGGTACCTACAATACACTAGACATATCCTTCGGGGATTAATTTCAATTTAAATGTGGTCTTTTCCTCAAGGTTATAGAGAAACTGTTCTACAGATGTTGCCCCAGCTGACGTCTCTAGATGGAAGAAATACTTCTGGTGAACCAGTGAACCCGGCAGAAGAGAACTGTGCAGATTTGCAGTGTTTAGAAGACATTTTGGGCTCTTTGATTTCATCTGCATACCCCTCATCCAGAGATCAGGTGCCATAATTTGTGTGTACTAATTTTAAAATTGATACATTTTATTTTTATGTTGTATGCAACTCATTAATCATAGAATCATAGAATCATAGA